TGAAGACGCTTAATGAGTTTGTGATGATTTTTTTTTCGTTTCTTTTGTTTGCGCTGAATTTTGATTTTTCGCAGTTTGTCTTTTTTTTTAAATTCAGGTTATTTTCTTTCCTAAAAGGGAGAAAAACTCCACAATCCAACAGCAAAAGTGAAAAGGTCACGAAAAACCCGATTGACTTCTGGTTTCAAAAATTGATTTTATTTTTCAGATTTTCAAGCGGAATAATTAATTTTTTCTATTGACCCAGTTTTCTCAAATTATGTTAGTTTTATCAAAAAGGGGTCAATAGTAAAGTTTATCTGAAATTTACAGAGCTTCGGGGCCATTTTTTTCTTTGAAATTAACTTCTCAAGCTCAAATCGTTGCTCGTTCAAAAAAAGTTTGCCACGCAGTCTTCCACAACAAAAAAATGTAAAATTCCGGCGTAAAGCATGGGCGGATTTTTGAGGAGCTTTGTGAATTAGTTTCAGTTTCAAGGTCAAAGTAATTTGATGTGGTCTTCGACAATTTTGTAATGCTTATTGCTAAATTTTCGGCTTAACTAAAATTTCATATCGGTCCTATCTGAAAAATACTTAAATAGGTTTTTATTGGAGTCAATTTTTCGGGAATAATTATCCGCGTTGAAATTTGATTGTTTGCTGTTTGACTTTGATTCGAAGACAAATCACGCCATCAAACAACAAACGTGCAAATGATGCAAAAGAAATCGAGCAAATTAAGTTTGAAAAATGATTATTTTGAAATTTTTCTTTGTTTATTGAAGTTATTTGCTGGTCCAGTTTTCTTAAATTGGTTTTTTTTTCAAAGAGCACCTATCATTAAACTGTTGTCAAAAGTGTCACAGAGGTTTCAGGTGAAATGTTTTCTTTCTTAGAAGATTTTTTTTTTTTTCAAAAAAAGTCTGTCATTTTTTTTTATGGTGTTTTGCCATGCTACCAAAGGGACACATCCGCTTATTAGGAGGTTTTGGCATACTACCAAAGCGACATTGCCCCTTTGTTTCAGAATTGATGTTGATTTTTGACTGATTGACTGTATCTACTGAAACGTGGATAAACATATCTGGCCTTGTGTGGAGTGAACTTGGATAAACATCAATGGATTTAATATTTCACGAAAAGGTAACCCACATTTCCCATTGTTCACAGCACAAAGTAGCTCTAGGCTCAAACGATTGTTTGTTGGAAAAATGTGAAAAAATGTTTTTCTTAAATAGTTGTTGGTTCTGAGTGTGAGATAATTCTAAGTTGAGCTGGTGAGCTAATAGGGGAAGTATGAATGTTGAGGACTGTCTATAATAATAGGATCAAATAAGGAAAACTTCCACAGATTATTATTTTTGCGATGTTTTCAGCAACAAGGGAATCTATGTGCTCAGCATTGTCTCAACGCTTTATTGCAGGGTGAGTTTGCAAATATTTTGCGTGTTTCAATTTATACTATTAGGCTTGTTCTTAATTACGAGAAGCTATGCAATTTATAATGAAAAAATTGTCTTTTAGTTTGATTGATCTCAAACCATTAGTGAAGTTCTTAGCTTTTCAGGGCCCTACTTTTCGCCTGTGGATCTAGCATCCATTGCTCATGACATTGACGAGATTGAGAAGGCTAACTTGAGGGAGATGGGTGCTGATGCGATATATGCCCAGGACCAAAGAAGTGGAGGTGGCCAGCATGGATCGAGTAACCACCATGACGACAGTGGATACTTCTCAGTACAGGTTTGTAGCCATTCTTCTAGCGCCATATCGACAAATGTGTTCCTGCTAATACGAAGATACTCTTAATTTTGTTTGAATTTGTTGATGAATACGATTTTTGTTGCCCTTATTTCAAAATTGGGACATCGTTCTACGAGGATGAATTTTGTAGTTGCAGAAGTTTTTTCTGTCATTTTGTGTTTGGCTGGGATTTACTTTACATGACTTTCAACTTTTTCAGAAGACTAGTGATTGGAAACATGAAGCACATTTCATCGTTATTTTTTTTCTGGTTTATAGAGGACGGGTTTGAAGTCTAAATGCAGCACAAGTGTGCTCGTTTCCACTTCCCTTTGCATTTGAATTTCAAGTTAACACTATTTGAGCGTTATGTACTGCAATTTTATATGGTATACAAATTAAACGCATTTGTTTGTTATACATTATAAGGAAAACCACGTATTTAGCTATAATTGCATGCTTTAGTAAAATGAAATGAATGAAAATGAAAATAGCCCACAAGTTCTCTAAGATTAAGTTGTTGTTGTATTAGTATGATAAATTGTGGTTGTGTCCTGTAGGTGATAGAGAAGGCTCTGCAGTTGTGGAATATCCGACTGTATCTTGCAGGCAGTGAAGCTGCCTCGACAGTGCTCCAAGCACCATGGTAATCTATTACCCCATATTTCGTAGTTTAAATTTTTCATTGGGAAAAGAGCATTGCCAATTGAAATAAGAAAAAACGCTCCATGTAGAAATTTATAGAGCAAATGAAAAGTGTAATCCAGAAAATTGTCCAGATCTTTTTCGCTGTGGTTTTCAATTTTTTGGACTACGTGGCTTTTTTCCTGTCTGCTAGCTTGCACTGCTATTTTTATGCAAGAAGTTCAGCGCAAGCCGAGAAAATCAAAATGGGTATTAAGGGCTTAGGAGCTTACTGGGTTAAATTAAGCAAAGAGATAATGAAAAGAGCATGAGAGAAGGAAGGTAAATGAACAGAATAGGTGAAAAGAATAAGAACTGGGTAAAAAGGAAAAATAATATTTTAAATTATATTTTGATCTTGCTCGGATTAAATCTTGCCTAATTACAATAACTTTCTACCGTTCATGGCGCAGCGCTAAATCGCCGGTCTCTATCGACAGATTAATAGGTTCGATTCCTGCTGGGAACATTTTTTTTATCGTTCTTTTGATAACTATACTCATCCTATGATGGTGTTTTAGTAGGCAGGCTAGGCTTGATGCAGATCAGCTGATCTTTTTACATATCCTTTTAAAATTTAGCGCAGTATTTTTTTTTCTGGAAAAATGTGTGAGAATAGTTCTTCCATAGCTTAGATAAAAGAGGTCTTCTTGTGCTGATTTCATGCGAAGATGTCTAGATGTGAAGATATCTGCGAACATACCGGAGACTTAAGTGCCCTCCTCCAGTCTATAAAAATTTTGTGTGAATGTTTGTTCTAGTGAGGAGAAGGCCTTTATATGTCATTTCAACAACCACTGGTTCACCATACGGAAATTAGGCAGACAGGTCAGTATAATAACAAGAGCACCCGCCAAATATACAATTAGCACATAATGTCTCCAGTCACTATTTATGACAATAATTTTTGACTTTAAAAAAATTCTTTGAAAAATTTCCATTTTTATATTTTTTAAAATTTTCTATTGGTTTGGCTATATATAAGCAGGATTATTTTTTTTTAAAATATCTTGTTAGCTTTCGAACCAGAAGTTCTAGGATCTTGTTATCCACGCTGCGTAACGTGTGTCAGAAAGCTTATCTGAATCATTTTGAGTTTGGATTGTGGGTATGTTTAGTGGTTCAACCTGAACAGTATGCAGAAGGGTCCCAAGTACATATCGGATACTTATCTCTCCCTCTTCCTGGCCCAGCTGCGGACAGAGGGGTACTTCATATTCGTCGCCAGAGGTGGAAAAAATGTTTTTGAAAATCTATCCATTCACGTCTGTAGTTATCGGAACTAATAATAATTGATCAAAAGTATAGGAAAATGTGCCAACAGTCAACCAAATTGAAAATTGAATCAGCATGTCATCAGAACTTTTTTTCGGCATAATTTTTGTTGATCGAATTCTAATTACAGGTGAGCTACCGTCAAGCGAGGCCGATCAGATGTTGACCTTGTGTCCCTATGATCACTCTCTTGAAAGAGAAGAGAAAGTATCTCAAGCTAAGAAGGACGCAGCCAAAAAGGGACACGATTGGGTAAATAAATTTAGTCAAACTTTTGGATTAATATTGGAAACATTTGCCACAACCCAATTGTGCATGCTATCTATTAGACAAAACGTTAAGATTAAAACCTTTCTATCAGCGATGAAAAGGAAAGTTTATGCCGCACATTTTTGCTTGCAATTTAGTTTTGGTCTCAATTGTTGCCTTGCTTAGATATCATGGTTGCTTATTACCACTAACAATCAATTCAAAAAGGTGTAAAAAATAATTTTCTTTTAACTGCTTATCGAAGTCTTTGTTGGGTTTTTATGGGCTATAAACTAATTTGAATGCCACATTGCAGTATAGTTTCAAATGTTTCAGGGCGAACCGGCTGGATCTGTGTTGAACCCTCTTAACACCTCTTCCACATCATCTTCATCCTTTTTAAATAAAAGCACTCCCGTAACAACAAACCCTGATGCGATCAGAAACAAACGTCTCAAATATTTCATGGACGGTAACGGGGACACTTCAGATGCAGATAAATCAATACCTGGAGAGAAACCAGTAAAAGTGGCGAATAGTTCAACTGTTGTTGATCATGATGAATTTGAAGTGATAGAATCCGATTTTAATGATGACCCGGAACTAGCTGAGGCAATCAGATTGTCTTTACTTCAAAGTTGATTAGGTTTAAATTAGATTTTGATACTTCATGTTTTGTGCGCTAGTTCTTAGAATTTCAAATTTGATGCTTCGTTTCATTTCATTTTCACCTGAGCAAATGAATAACTTCTTTAGAATTTTGTTTCACCTACGCAATTCAAAGTTTTTGGTTATCATTTTTTGTTAAGCTCAATGCATATCAAGCTCACTAAATTTGGTTAAAATTATTGAGATTTTAATGCCCAAGTGACCAATACTAACAGCAACAATATTGGGCAGTTTGCAATTGCATAATCCTTCTTCCGGAATCGAGAATACTTGAAAGATTTCACGGCATCCCCAGAATTCCGTTTGTGTAATACTCTTCCAGCACAAGAAAAGAAACCTCCAGACCTGGAGAAGCCCAAACAACCGTACTGTTAACCAGATCGACTACCTACTTGTGCCTAGAAAAAGGATCAGTGCTGTCTTAGACAGTCAATCAGATTGGAAATTTTTTGTAGACACTGAATATGCCATGATTGTCGCCAAGAAGAAACAAAGCAATAGACTCGATGTCTCAAAGCTTAAGGACTTAGCAACTGTGGACGCCTTTTAGACCGTCCACCGGCAGACAGGTCAGTATAATAACAAGAGCACCCGCCAAATATACAATTAGCACATAATGTCTCCAGTCACTATTTATGACAATAATTTTTGACTTTAAAAAAATTCTTTGAAAAATTTCCATTTTTATATATTTTTTAAATTTTCTATTGGTTTGGCTATATATAAGCAGGATTATTTATTTTTAAAATATCTTGTTAGCTTTCGAACCAGAAGTTTTAGGATCTTGTTATCCACGCTGCGTAACGTGTGTCAGAAAGCTTATCTGAATCATTTTGAGTTTGGATTGTGGGTATGTTTAGTGGTTCAACCTGAACAGTATGCAGAAGGGTCCCAAGTACATATCGGATACTTATCTCTCCCTCTTCCTGGCCCAGCTGCGGACAGAGGGGTACTTCATATTCGTCGCCAGAGGTGGAAAAATTGTTTTTGAAAATCTATCCATTCACGTCTGTAGTTATCGGAACTAATAATAATTGATCAAAAGTATAGGAAAATGTGCCAACAGTCAACCAAATTGAAAATTGAATCAGCATGTCATCAGAACTTTTTTTCGGCATAATTTTTGTTGATCGAATTCTAATTACAGGTGAGCTACCGTCAAGCGAGGCCGATCAGATGTTGACCTTGTGTCCCTATGATCACTCTCTTGAAAGAGAAGAGAAAGTATCTCAAGCTAAGAAGGACGCAGCCAAAAAGGGACACGATTGGGTAAATAAATTTAGTCAAACTTTTGGATTAATATTGGAAACATTTGCCACAACCCAATTGTGCATGCTATCTATTAGACAAAACGTTAAGATTAAAACCTTTCTATCAGCGATGAAAAGGAAAGTTTATGCCGCACATTTTTGCTTGCAATTTAGTTTTGGTCTCAATTGTTGCCTTGCTTAGATATCATGGTTGCTTATTACCACTAACAATCAATTCAAAAAGGTGTAAAAATTAATTTTCTTTTAACTGCTTATCGAAGTCTTTGTTGGGTTTTTATGGGCTATAAACTAATTTGAATGCCACATTGCAGTATAGTTTCAAATTTTTCAGGGCGAACCGGCTGGATCTGTGTTGAACCCTCTTAACACCTCTTCCACATCATCATCATCCTTTTCAGATAAAAGCACTCCCGTAACAACAAACCCTGATGCGATCAGAAACAAACGTCTCAAATATTTCATGGACGGTAACGGGGACACTTCAGACGCAGATAAATCAATACCTGGAGAGAAACCTGTAAAAGTAGCGAATAGTTCAACTGTTGTTGATCATGATGAATTTGAAGTGATAGAATCCGATTTTAATGATGACCCGGAACTAGCTGAGGCAATCAGATTGTCTTTACTTCAAAGTTGATTAGGTTTAAATTAGATTTTGATACTTCATGTTTTGTGCGCTAGTTCTTAGAATTTCAAATTTGATGCTTCGTTTCATTTCATTTTCACCTGAGCAAATGAATAACTTCTTTAGAATTTTGTTTCACCTACGCAATTGAAAGTTTTTGGTTATCATTTTTTGTTAAGCTCAATGCATATCAAGTTCACTAAATTTGGTTAAAATTATTCAGATTTTAATGCCCAAGTGACCAATACTAACAGCAACAATATTGGGTGGTTTGCAATTGCATAATCCTTCTGCCGAATGGAGAATACTTGAAAGATTTCACGGCATCCCCAGAATTCCGTTTGTGTAATACATTCTTCCAGCACAAGAAAAGAAACCTCCAGACCTGGAGAAGCCCAAACAACCGCACTGTTAACCAGATCGACTACCTACTTGTGCCTAGAAAAAGGATCAGTGCTGTCTTAGACAGTCAATCAGATTGGAAATTTTTTGTAGACACTGAATATGCCATGATTGTCGCCAAGAAAAAACAAAGCAATAGACTCGATGTCTCAAAGCTTAAGGACATAGCAACTGTGGACGCCTTTTAGACCGACCACAGAGAAGTCATTGGTAACACGAGTAACGTCACTTCAACCACTGAAATCTGGAATCAACTCCACAAAGCTACTCAAGAAATCAGCGAGAACTATCTAACGTCAACAGCAAGGCCAAAACGCGCTGGGATTGTCGCAACCACTATAAATCTCTGAGCAGCGCCGTTCCGCTCGCATCAATGAACACGTGACCAAGGCCAGAGAGCTTGCTCGTAACATCAAGCGCAGTGTCAGAATGGATACAGAGATCTATTTGAACAATGTAGCTGAGCAGAGAAAAATGTTCCAGCTACTCCATGGTGCTTATCTCATTTGGTACCTCTTCACAAGGAGGGAGACGTTCGAATTGATAAAAACTACTGCGGTTTTTCTCTGTTATGCATATCATTAAAAGTTCTAGAACTTGATATTCTACAAAGACACAGCAACACCATAGACAAAAACCTCACCAAAAGTCAGGCCGGATTCAGACATGAAAGAAGCTGCATCGACCAGATTTATAGCATACTACGGGCTCTAGAGAAAAGATACGAAATCTGACAACCAACATCAATCTGCTTCATTGACTTCACAGCTGCCTTCGACAGCGTCCATCGGAACACGTTATGCAAACTTCTCAGAGGAGCCGGCTTACCAGGTGTCACATGCGGTGTTGTGATAAAATTTTTCTGTCATGCCACTTGCAAGATAAAAGCTTATAACGACGAAAGCGTTGGGTTTGATGTTTTTCAGGGGTCAGGAAGGGAGGAATTTTATCACGCGGTCTTCTGCCTACTAGCAGTTAACGATGTGCTCAAGTAACAGAATACCAATTGCAAGGTGTCGCCATTTGGCCATCCCTCTGTACCTTCGATGCCTTTGCATTTGCCGATGACATTGCTCTTGTTACAAAATATGGAAAACCTAAAAAGTATGACCACCAACATGTCAATCGAAGCTAGAAAGTTAGGTCTTATCATTAATGCAACTAAGACCAAAATAATGAACAATTCAGCCACAGACAATTCAGGCGCAGAGACAATTCAGCCACAGACAATTCAGCCGATCCGATTTAAAATACAGACAATTCAGCCAAAGACAATTCGGCCGATTTAGATTAAAGAGACAAGATAAAAGGGAACAATAAAACTTTTCTAATTTGATTAGAGTCAGAAGGCTTTCAACAGTTTACCAAAGAAATGAAAAACATCAAATAACAAATTTCGAAGATCAAAACAAACTTGCTATGCATAAAGTTTTACGAAATATGTACATTGAAGGTACACAGTTTTAAATACTTCTGTATATGGTCTCGATTGTAGTTTTTTGCGTTTTGAACGAGTTTATCATTTGCTATTGAATACTTGGGCTTCTGTTTTCTGATAATATCACCGGACATCAGTCTCTCTACATTAATTTCGGCGTTTTTTTGCTCATCTTTTAATCGTGCGATCAACTTGGGGAGGGCTGGATGTTTTGTCGATACGAACTTATTGAAGCTGCCATTCCATGCCTCCAACGCATTGTTCGTACGAGGTTCTCCGCTGAGCACCCGATTGAAAACGTTCCAATCGCCAATGTCAAACTTTGGTTTGACGCGTCTATTTCCTCGACAAGCACCAATATAGGTGTCTTCGAAGTAGTCTGATAGACTCTGGAATTCCTCTGAAGGATCCTCTTTTCGGAGCGCCTCAAAAGCGAAAATAACGTCGTCAATGGGAACGAATGCCAAGCAAATCATTTTTTTGACATTCAGTCGAAACTCATCATCGTCCATGTACTTGCGCGAAAAACCAAGTTTTTGTACATTGCGCCATACTGCTTGGCCCAGGTGGAAGAAACAGAATCGAATTTTTGTATCAGGCTGCATTTTTTATGGCGTTGCGAACAGCGGCTTCAAAGTCAATGACTACTTTTTTTCCAAATTGCTCTAAGCAGCCAAAAAGTTTTTCGTAAGTGTCTTGCGTCTTATTGGGCAGCAGAGCATACACCAAGGGTATAACTGCGTTTTCGATTACACCATGAATAGTATAAATTTGGTAAAAGACGTCTGGTGCCACTGAAAACGTTCCATCGCAATGACAGATTTCCGACTGAGAAAGCAAATCAAGCGCTGGTAGTGTTGCAAAAACTAAAACTCGACTGTCCGACTTACCAGAATCAAAATACAGGAACGTATCACCGCTGTGTTTGAGTTTGAGAGGTTCAGGAATTTCGTCGACGCTCTCAAGGTTTTTTGGTTTTGGCATTGTTTCCAAAGCTTGCTGCCTGATTCGGTTTATACTTCGAAGGGATGTTGAGTAAATCGGTATTGTGGTCGCTGCATAAAGAGGCAGGTCAATTTGGGCGTTGAAAACAATCTGTCGGGGAGCGTTACCGGTGTTTGCGGCTTTTTCTCGAACTTCATTAGCAAATTTCTTGGCTTGAATTTTTGAGGGGCTCGGTAAATGAGCGTGCTCGGTTTTCAAGGTAAATTCTTGCTGTTCGTCCAAATAACCCACTGCTCTACAATTTCCAAATGTACATTGCCATTTAATGAGACCGTTCTTAAGTTGGTTTTTTTCACGGTATCTATAACCGTCGAGACAAAGATGTTTTTTTTCCGCGTTCAGATATTACGAATTCCATTTTACGTCAACTTTTGCTAAAAGTGAATGAATGAGAATGATTCGGATACTAATCAACCAGTTGTTCAAGCTACTTACTAATGAAAATTAATCAATGTTAATTGTGTCAATGGACCATTTAACTGCAAAAAGTAGGCGCTAAACGCGGTACTGGTTTCTGGTTGGTCAATATTTTAATCGCAATTAGTTTATCTTTTAAAAAAGTTTAAGTATCAAATTAGTTTCAACCAACTACCCAAATTACCTGATAGGCGGTTGCACCCTCCCCCGCCTAAGGCATGATAAGAATATCAGCGTAACTGTGTGGCCCATACGTGGTAGGGGTGGTCAGCCCTTTAACTGATATCCTTTTTGACCGCCTGTAAATTCCCAATTTCGGGTCTGCTTTCGTGTAAATTGTAAACTTTTAAGTATTGCGCAGTTTTTTGTAGAGTTCGATTTTTGCTTAACTATTATTCCAAAATTGGAAACATAATGAGTTGTATAAAGTTTTATTATGCTTAGGCATTTTTGGTTCTGTTAATTTTAATTGTTTTATGTGCATTCGAAAGGAATTACTTATAAGTCGTCTAATAAAAGCTTTGATGTTTTGCCGCATGTGAAAAGTTTTTGCGCGCACGTTTTAAAACTTTAAAACTGTCTGAAAAGTCTTTGGTCGAATTGTCTCACTCATTTTGACTGAATTGTCTGAATTTGAAATTGGCTGAATTGTCTGTGGCCGAATTGTCTGAACGCGGTCTCAAAGCTTAAGGACATAGCAACTGTGGACGCCTTTTAGACCGACCACAGAGAAGGCATTGGTAACACGAGTAACGTCACTTCAACTTCTGAAATCTGGAAGCAACTCCACAAAGCTACGTCAAGTGCAGTGTCAGAATGGATACAGAGATCTATTTGAACAATGTAGCTGAGCAGAGAAAAATGTTCCAGCTACTCCATGGTGCTTATCAATAAAAGTTCTAGAACTTAATATTCTACAAAGACATAGCAACACCATAGACAAAAACCTCACCAAAAGTCAGGCTGGATTCAGACATGAAAGAAGCTGCATCGACCAGATTTATAGCATACTACGGGCTCTAGAGAAAAGATACGAAATCTGACAACCAACATCAATCTGCTTCATTGACTTCACAGCTGCCTTCGACAGCGTCCATCGGAACACGTTATGCAAACTTCTCAGAAGAGCCGGCGTACCAGGTGTCACATGCGGTGTTGTGATAAAACTTTTCTGTCATGCCACTTGCAAGATAAAAGCTTATAACGATGAAAGCGTTGGGTTTGATGTTTTTCAGGGGTCAGGAAGGGAGGAATTTTATCACGCCGTCTTCTGCCTACTAGCAGTTAACGATGTGCTCAAGTAACAGAATACCAATTGCAAGGTGTCGTCATTTGACCATCCCTCTGTACCTTCGATGCCTTTGCATTTGCCGATGACATTGCTCTTGTTACAAAATATGGAAAACCTAAAAAGTATGACCACCAACATGTCAATCGAAGCTAGAAAGTTAGGTCTTATCATTAAGACCAAAATAATGAACACCGACGGATCAAAGGATACTTTTACCATCAATGGAGGATTATCGCTTGAGGTCGTCAGTCCCCGAAGGAGCAGCCGATGTAGGCGTAAACAGACGCATAAACCAAGCCTGGGCCGTGTTTAAGCATATATCCCGGCTATGGCATGCTCACCTAAATCTTAAGATCAAAATCTGGGTCATCAAAACATGCGTCCGAACAACAGCGTCATACGCATGAGAAACATGGAACATTCTACAGTCAAATGCAAAAGCTAGACGTGTTCAGGAAATGTCTTCGGAGAATTGCGAGTATCTCGTACTTAGACCACATTACAAACAACAATGTCATGAAAATTTGAAATTGCGGTGAAACAAATATTTTCACATATTGTCAGTCGCAGGCAGTGGAAGTACTTTGGTCATGTG